ATTACAACCTTAAAGTCCTATTGATCCTAGATTTGGCTAGCTTAAATTAGTAGAGATATACACTACGGGCAAGCTTATGGTACGACCACGAGATGCATATGAATTCTTTGTGAGAGTGAACGAATTTTATTCAATTGTGTGATGTCCTTAATCTATATTCAAAAGCATATTTGAATATGTTGACTAATCTATATTCACTCTTTTGTTTGTTGGTGAGAGCACGTGATCTCATGAATGATTGGTAATGTTGTAAACTTTCTTGTTGGGTGAGTACGTGAATTGAGGTTGCTTACTGGTTACAAGTCGGCTTTTGAGGTTGGGTGGTGACAATTAGGTTGTTGGAATTGATTGAATTGAAAGGTTATACTTGGGCATGCTTAAACGGGAAGAATGTGAAATTTTGTGTGTTCATGCTTGTGTACCGGTATTGATCATAGTCAAGGGTATAGTGTGTGGTTAAAAGTTAAAGTGCTCCTCTATAATTGAGACGTGTACGTAGTTGGGGGTTTATTTGATAGTCCCATTGCTCGAGGACGAGCAAGAGTCTAAGTGTGGGGTGTTGATGTTTCGCTTAAAGTATATATATTTTTATGTATATTCATATCCTACTTTTGTTTCGTGGATTTAGGATGTGAAATGTGTTGATTTATGTTAATTTGATGTGTTTTTATATGTAGGAATGATCCGGGAGCAATAGGGGGCGGAAAGTGCGAAATTAGAGCCAAAACGAACAAAAATAGGAAACTTGGACATTTCAGCACCACAGGTGGTGCCCAGCCCTACCTGTGGCGCCAGAAACAGAAGCTAAAATATTGGAGCGCCGTGGAGGGCGCCTGGCGCTATCCAGGGCGCCAATGACGTGAATTTTCTCCAATTTCGCCCGGGACAAGGTTATTTCGGCCCTAGACCTACCCAACACGTATAAAAGCAAGACTAAACATACTTTTGAAGGGAGAGACGCCACTTTGAAGGGATGTAACACACTTTGAAGGAGAATTCATGTGGAGGAACACACACCACGCTTAGAGGGGGCTTCTAACTAGCTTTTCTTCTCTTATCTTCTTTTAGTTTCAGAGTTTATTCGTTCTAGAGTTGTGGGGTGCTACATGAACGTTGTAGTTTGAAGCTTAAATTGTTCTTATTATTTTATCATATTGGTTTATTTATTCAATCTTGCACTTAAATTATTTGATTACTTGATCACCAATTGAATACTATCTACGAATCTAGGATTGAACTCGGGAAAGGGAATTCTAGATTGCATATAAGATTGAGTAGAGCAAGATCTTAACTTTGGGGGGGGGGGGGGGGGGACGATTTGCGGTTAGGATAGGAATATACCTAATCGCCTTGGTTGGTTATTATACAGGAATTATAAATGCGTTCTTGTTAATCCTAATTCCATAGGAATTTAGGCGTTAGATTAGCTTGAATAGGCGAGTTGTACTTCGGGAGAAGGCTACGAGCAATATTAACCCTGTCAACCAATAAACCAGATAAATTAATTAGACGATTTAAGTGGAAAACTCAACGGGATTGTTAGTTAACCCATAGCTCTAGAATATTCACTCACATTGAATTCGTCTTTAAGCTTGTCGTTGTTTTCTTTAATCTCTTATTTTGCTACTCTAGATTAATTTTAGTTAAATATTTATACGTTAGGATTCGCTTGAATAGATTAATTATTTGATTTAATTTAGTTGATAGTTAATCACAAGTCCCTGCGGGTACGATATCTGGACTTGCAATCCAATATTACTTGTTGACCACGTATACTTGCCTGTGCGTTTGGGAGCAACAGGAACTAGTGTTTTTTCGTTACAAAAGTATTCTGAATACACATTTATCCATGGACCCTCCTCTAACTATTCAGATTGGTATTATGAATTTCATTTTCTTCTCATTATGATATTCTGAAAAGGCTACTTCAGTACTGCTATCCTAATGTCAATTTTGTCAATCCAGGAAAAAACTTATTACCTTAATGTTGACTCAGTAAGAAATATATGGTGCAAAACACAAAATAAATAACTAAAGGAGTTCGACTAATATTTACTCGTGAAAATACGGTCAGAGCAATTTCCTACAAAATACGATGTAACTGGAAGACCTATTGCAATTAATTTCAATTCTTTTTCATTTAATACTTGACTAGTGTCGTTGAAATCAAGCACTGTTTGTTTCTTTTTTTCTTTCAAGATAAGAGTTTTGATAGCTCTAAGAATAATACAAATAAGTGGTAATACACTTATCTTCAAAAAAACAATAATGTAAATAAAAAAATGGCTTTTCTTCATTGTTTAAATAGTAATTAATAGTAAAATAAAATCGCATGTTTGGAACAAAATTAAGTTAAATAAGACATGAAGAAAAGAGCACATAATCAAGCAGGTGTGGATCTAGTACATACTTTGTGGGTGCATCTAAATTCAGTAACTTTGACTCGTACTTTGTATGTATCATATATATTTAAAAAATTCAGTAACTAGGTATGAATAATAGATTTCGAACTTAGTTAAATCAATTGTACATTGTAATAAAATCCTAAACCCAGAGGCCAGAACCATATCTTAAATCATGTTCCGCCTCTGTAATTAAGTTTAGCAGCTTAATTAGCACGGCAATACCAGTTCCTTAACCATAAAGGAGACTTCCTATAATAAAGCAAAAGGCATAATTAGCTCGAAATTAATTAAGGGTCCATACACTATTTTCTAGCAGGAAATCACCTGGACTATACAAGAGTGTGCGTCAAAAAGCACTACTATTTTCCAGTTCCATATTATAACTTAGTTTATATACAAGACTTAAATCCTTTCATTATGTTCATTCCGAAAAAAATGATATATTGTTAAATTTAATTTAATTTAAACTTCATGTGATACCTTTACTGACACATTTTTACAGCAACTATGTTATGACATATTTAAAAGAATAAGTTTCAAAATATCTTTATTTATTTTTATCTCTGTGTACGATGCACGAAAGATGGTTTAGAACTTTCCAAATACAGAGCTATCACTGTTTTGATGAAATTATCTGATTTTTAGTTACAGTTATGCCTTTTGTTGTTGGGATGTCTACAGATGTCGCTATCCATCTATTTTGCCACTAATGCCTCATTTGTATTTTTTAAGATTAAAACGTCTGAATCTGAATAGACATTTGAATATTAAGATGTGTATAAAGATTAAGACATCTGAATCTGAATGCACATCTGAATATATTAAAATGTGTATTAAGATCTGAATACTATATAATTAAGACTGTTTGATTTTTAACATCTGAATGTATAAAAATTATTTTTATTTGAAAATTAATAAATATAAAATTCAAATGAAATACTAACTAATCTAATATTCTATCAATAAAATATATAGTTTTTTAAAGAGTTAATACCCTAAAAACCCCTTAAACTATAAATTTTTGTCAGTTTCCTACTCAAACTATTCGGTGTCCCCAAAATCCCCCTGAACTATATTGTCCTTCATATTAAAAATCTCTCGTTGATGACCTGGCATAACGCGTGTAAACACTCGCTTGAGAGCGCGTGGTAGCTGAAAAAAGCCATCAAAATGGCTCATATGACAGAAAATAATGGCTAATTAGCCTACCCCTCTTTCACATTTATTTTTTTAATAAATATTCTCCTTATTTCAGTTATATCCATCTACCTTCCTCATTTTTTCGCCATCCTTCCTCTTTTTTATTTTTTTTTTTATTTTTTTTTACATTTCTTCTTTATTTTTCACCTCCTCCTCCTCCTTCTTCTTCTTCTTCTTCTTTTTCTTCTTCTTCTTCATTTTTTAACCTTCTTTCTTTAGTTCTCCATATGGGTTTCCTCTGGAAAAATTTCTCCCTCTCTTGTTGAAAGAATACCAATTTAAATCTTCTTATTAAACTCAACTAAAGTTGATAATCTTAAACCTTCTTTATGTAATCTGAAATTGGAGAATGTAATTGTATTTGTTGGCTAATTAATTTTTTATTTGCGAAATTTTATTTTGTGTAATCTCTTTTATGTAATATAAGATGATTTTTAAGAAATGCAATATTATATGCCTTTATTTATACTTTTTTCTGTGATATAAAGTGAATATAAATGACTTATTCAATTGGAGTTTAGCATAAAGCACAATCACAATTAAACCTAATATTAACACAATACATTAAATATTATTTTGGCCAAAACTCCTAGAAATCGTCCGAGAGTAATACATCATGAGTAAACTATATATAGTTCGGGGGGGGGGGGGGGGGTAAGTTCTGGGACACCAGATAGTTTAAGTAGGTAACTGACAAAATTGTGATAGTTTAGGTTGGTTTTAGGCTGAGTTGAATAGCCACGTGTAGTGCTACATAGCACGTTTTTTAAATAATTAGGAGCGTGTACTACACGCACGTTCTAGGAATGCAATGAGGTGTTTTTAATATGAAGAGCAACATAGTTTAGGGGGAATTTTGGGGATACTGAATAGTTTAAGTAAGAAACTGACAAAAACATGATAGTTTAGGAAGATTTTAGGGTATTAACTCTTTTTTTTATCTCTTAAACTTTGTGGCAAGTCCAACTACGTCATCTAAATTGAAGTGTAGGAAATAGTATTATATGTTAATATTACAATAAGATTAAAAGAGGAATTCATAACCTAAATCAATTTAATCGTTAATATCTTTTGTTATGACTTAGAAGTTTCTTAAGGAATCAATGGTATGAGGACAGGGGCGGATCCAATTGAACATGCAGGTGCACATACAAAATAGAATAAAACCATTATGAACCCTCTGATTCTATATCTTGAATATGCCTTTGTATCAGCTTCAATGAGCGGTGAAAAATTAAGAACCATGTAATCAACATCATAACCTGAAATTGATTCGGGTTCTTCTTTGAGAGATCAAACAGAGCTCGACTAGTTGCCAGATAAAAATTTAAACAAACTTGTCATCGTTATATATGATGGTAAAATGTTAAAATTGAAAAATAACAATGTCCCACTTTTTCGCATAATGTATGAATTCTTTTTATTTCTCCAAAACAAAGCAATTTTTTTTGGTTACAATATCCACTTCATTGGGGGAATTATAAGCATACAAGTTACAATAATGAATGGTGCTTACACACAACAACACAAGTATATGTACTTACCTTGAATCTTGTAAGGAAATGACAGTTTCAAAAGCACTAGCCAATGCTTTCACTCTATTCTTCCTTTGCTCTCTTAGTTTATTTGCAGTCTCTTCAATCACATCATTAGATACTACACTTTCCTTTTTATTCCCTTGCACCAAATGAAGATAAGGCTTTGCAAATCCCATAGTTGTAACTTTATTCTCTTCCTTTCCTTTGTTTCTTCCTTCATTTTCCGCTTTCTCTTCTTTAATATGCACCTCCAACTCTTTTTCCTTATTTTCTTTTTCTTCCTCTTTCTCTTGTTGACAGTTATCCAATTCTTTTAATAATACTTCACTTTCTTGAACCTCCTCATTCTTTTCTTGATTCTCATTAACTGTTTTTATCACACTTTCTTGTTTTTCTATCTCTTCAACATCAAGTTTACTAGGCTCATTCTTGATTTCTTCTACTTCTTTATGGTTGTTGATTCTTGTTTCTTCAACTAGTTGTTTCTCTTCTTGCACTTCCATTTTAATGACTTCTTGATTTTCCACAACATATAATGAGGATTCAGCAGCCTTGAGATATTCTTCAATGTTTATATTGTCATTAAGCTCTTCATGATCTTCAATGACTAAATCACTTTCATTGACTTGTTCTTGATGTTCCTCTTGTTCTAATAACTCTTCGCCTCGAGGATCAATATGCTCAACTATATCTGGCAAATTAGATGTTATAAATGTTTTTGATGTTAAACCAGCAGGACTATCTTGCTTCACTGCCCTAGCATAGAGGCCAGGAGCATGTTTATTCCCAATAACATCCTTAGTACTAGTATAATGTGATTTGGACAATTTATTCATAAGGGGTTTTTGTGAAGTGAAAGTTTTACTTGATAATGACAAGGATGGTTTGATAATTCTTTCCCTGGGATTAGGGGATATTGTTCTGTTTTTTAGCAGGGGAGAAGACAAGGGAGGCTTATGATCGAACGATCTTCTTCGAGCTAGAGTTTGTTTATTGTGAATGTTGGGATCACTACTTGATGGGGTTAGCTTCTTACCTTGAGGACTATTATCAAGAACAGAATGTGGGGGAGGCCTATGATCGAACGATAATCTTCTTCGAGCTGGACTTTGTTTACTATGAATGTTGGGATCACTACTTGACGAGACTAGCTTCTTGCCTCGAGTATTATCAAGACTAGAAGATAAGGAAGGTCTATGATCCAACGATAATCTTCTTCGAGCTAGAGTTTGTGTATTATGAATGTTGGGAGGAACACTTGATGATGAGGCTACTAGCTTCTTGCCTTGAGTATTATCAAGACTAGAAGTTAGGGCAGCCTTATAATCCAACGATCTACGAGCTAGGGTGTCTTTATTGTGAATATTGGCATCACTCGTCGAGGCTGCATTCTTGCCATGAACATTATCAAGACTAGAAGGAGGCTTATCGATCGATGTTTTATGATTTGGAGTTTGTTTATGGTGAATGTTGGAATAACTTGATGAAGCTGGTTTGGATTTGAGATAGCTAGGTATGATGTTCTTATTTGAGGCAGTTGGATTAGTGGCATTATGTGTGTGGACAAGAGACTTTGTTTTAGATGTGTTGGTGCTTCTCTTACCCTTTACTAAAGGGGCAATGTCCCTTGTCCTTGTTGCCATTCCTTTGCCTCAAGTTCTTGACAAGATCTTGAACCTGCAATTGTTGCAAAATGTACAAACAGGTTAATACTTAACAACCCTAAGATTTACAAGTTGGACTAATAATTGGATTTTAAGTTTTACTTCTCCTTTGTATAAGTTGTAATAATCACAAGACAAATGGTCAAATTTAGACTATAAAAGTTTAACCAATCTAACATGTTCAAATAACAAGGACAACCCGGTGCACTAAGCTTTCACTATATGCGGGGTCTGGGAAAGGACCGGCCGGACCACAAGGGTCTATTGTACGCAGTCTTACCCTGCATTGCTGCAGGAGACTATTTTCACAGCTCGAACCCGTGACCTCCTGGTCACATGGCGGCAACTTTATCAATTGCGCCAAAGGCCCCCTCCAACATGTTCAAATAACAATTCTACAAACAACTTCATCATATAAATCTAAATTTATTAAACTCAATAAAAGACGAAAAAATCTTTCCTAAAAATCTCGTTCAGTTCATAACAAATTTCTGAAAGAAAATACACTTTTTTCATGCACTTTAATTTCTCCACAAAAAAAACATTATTTTTCCATTCTTCAACTATTAATTTTAATCAAAACCAATAGGCAATGGCAGAGCCATGCAGACATAAGGGTGATCAATTAAATACCCTTTGTCAAAAAAAAAAAAAAAAATGCATTGCATATTTTTATGAACATATGCATTGCGTGTATAATAAAGTGTACTTCATATATAGGCCAAGAATTTATGTAAACATTAAATTTTAAACAACCTTAACAAAATATTTGATTTCACCATTGCCAATATCAAATATTTCTTGAAATCATCAAAGGAAAATATACAAATTAATAAAGGATTATATAAACACGGGAGAGAGGGGAAAGAAATGAGAAAGAGAGGAGGAAATGCACCTTTTTTATTAAAGAAAATGAGCGAAAGCCTTCATTATTAAAATAGCTGATAATTGATAGAGGAAAGAAACTGAAGAACTTGGAGGAAAAAAGAAGGAAGGAAAGGAAAGGAAAAAAAGGAAAAGAGGAATTTGGGAGGGAAAGAATTTATAAGAAGAAAGTTTGTTGATATTAAATGGTTCGAAAATTGGCAGTTTGGTTGTTATAGTATATGCGTAGAGTATGCACAACCCAAGATTGCTGAAAGCACAAAAACAAACAATTACGCCATTATTATATTTTATATTATCCCCTAAGAGAGAGAAAAGTAATTAATTTATTTTTGTTTGGTTATCTTAAATCGAACATTATGAGCCGAGACTCCCTACTTCTTCGGGTAGTGGTAAGGTCTGCGTAAACACTACCCTCCCCAGACCCTACTAGTGAGATTTTACTGGGTTGTTATTGTTGTTGTTGTATCTTAAATCGAACATTAATCCATTTTCATTAATTTCCAGTTTTGTGAATTTTCTGACAGAAGCATCTTCAAGCTTCAATGGTTCTACCATAGTTCATTAGGCATATCCATCTCCGCTGATTTTCTCAAGAACCCTTCACTTGATGAGACCTCTAGGTCACCAGATGTAACGACCCGACCGGTCGTTTTGAGCTCTAGCACGTCGTTCAGCAGTCTGAGGCCATAAATAGCTTCATTTCAGGTATTATGACTTGTACGCGTGGTCGGAATTAAGTTTCGGGAAGTTCAGAGTTGATTTGGAAAGAGAATTCTCATTTCGGAAGCCTTAAGTTGAAAGAATTAACCAGGATTGGAATTTTGAGTAAACGACCTCGGAATCGGGATCCAAAGGTTCCTGCAGGTTCGTATGATGATTTCGGACTTGGGCGTATGCCCGGATCGGGTTTTGGATAACCCAGGAGCGTTTTGGCTTGTGGAAGTTAGCATTTTTGAAGAAATTTCTTAAGTTTGGCTTGAAGTGCATTTCAGTATTATCGATGTCCGTTTGGGATTCCGAGTCTGAGAATAGCTCCGTATGGTGATTACGGGGTTGGGAGCGCAATCGAAAGTGAATTCGGAGGTCAGTAAGTCATTTTGGAGCCATTTGGCTAAAGATAGAAATTTGAAGGTTTTTGAGAAGTTTGACCGGAGGTGGACTTTTTAATATCGGGGTCGGAATCCGATTCCGGAAGTTGCACTAGGTCCGTAATGTCGAATATGACTTGTGCGCAAAATTTGAGGTCAATCGGACGTGATTTGATAGGTTTAAACATCGGAAATAGAAGTTTGAAATTTTGAAGTTCATTAAGTTTAGATTGGAGGTCGATTCATGATTTTAGCGTTGTTTGATGCGATTTGAGGCCTCGAGCAAGTCCATAATATGTTTTAGGATTAGTTGGTATATTTGGTTGGGATCCCGGGGGGCCTCGGGTGGATTCCGGGTGGTTAACGGATCGAAATTGGGATTTTTGGACAGCTGAAGGATCTGGTTGCTGGTATTTTTGCTTCTGCAGTGGGTTAACCGCAGAAGCGGCCCCGCAGAAGCGGAAAGGGAGCCACAGAAGCGATTTTTGGTCTATGATTTGGTAAGATCGTTCAGCTGTTGGTTGGCTTCTAGAACAACTCTGGATACGCTCGAGGACGAGCGTTTGTTTAAGTTGGGGAGGATGTAACGACCCGACCCGTCGTTACGGGAGTTACCGCCCCGTTTTTCCCGTTTTATGCTTCTATATGTTTCATTATATGTGTTTGGAGAATTTGAAGTAATTCGGTTAGAGTTCGGTTAGAAATGAGGCAATAAGTCTCTTTATGAGAAGGTTAGTTTGGAAAAGTCAACCGAAGGTTGACTTATGATTTAGAAGGCTCGGAATGGATTTCCGATGATTCGACTAGTTCCGGGGGATGATTTGTGACTTAGGAGTGCAATCGGAATTGAATTTGGAGGTCCGGTGTAGAATTAGGCTTGAATTGGCTAAGGTTGGATTTTGGCGAATTCCGGATGGTAGGTGAGATTTTGATCCGAGGGTCGGAATGTAGTTCCGAGAGTTGCAGTAGCTCCGTTAGGTGATTTTGGATATGCGTGCAAAGCTTCAGATCATTCGGAGGTGTTTAGGTCGGGTTTTAGATCAAATACAAGTTTCGGAAGTTTTAGTTTAACTTAGGCTTGAATCCGTGGTAATTCGATGATTTTGATGTGTGTGATAGTGTTTTTATGTTATGAGCAAGTTTGAATGAAGTAGTAGAACATATTTGTGCAACTGGTTGAGGTCCCGGGGGCCTCGGAGTGATTTCGGGTGGTTAAACGGAGAATCTTGATGTTTGTTGCAGGTCTGGTGCACCTGGCTTCTGGTATTTCCGCATCTGCGATCTCTCCCATCTATCTTTATCCTTTTGTTCGCATTTTTCCTAGACAGACTTGTGATAGGTGAATATTCTGTATTAGAGGCTCATGTTCGTGACACCGGATTCTGTGGGATGATTAGTATTTTTATTTTGGGGTTCCGAATGTTAGAAATTATTTCAGAAATTCCGCATTTAATTTGGTATTTTAGTTGTGAATATTTATGTATCCTCTGTGATTAATCGGTCAAGGTTGTCTAAATGGTCGGGCTTGCCTAGTAGTGTGTTGGGCGCCATCACGACCAGGGTTGGGTCGTGACATCTGCGAACGCCGGCAGATCTACCTTGGGTCTCCCTTGGACTGAAGGAAGCAACCCAAACTCTACTCACGAGGTCCGGCACCGAAATCTGCACAGAAAGTGTTGAGTGCAGTATCAGTACAACCGACCTCATGTACTGGTAAGTGTCGAGCCTAACCTCGACAAAGTAGTGACGAGGCTAGGACACGGCAATCATATGAACCTGAGCAGTTAAATCACATACGAGAAAACAATAATAACAGGAATTTAGCAGATAAAGACGGGAAGGGGAACATGCTGCGGGGAATATCAGATTCTGACAATAATTCAATAGAGAAGCAAAGTAAACACCGTATTTGAACCAACAGAAATAATGATATAGCAACACGTGCACGGCATCACCCTTTGTGCTTTTACTCTCGTCCTCACCATAAGAAACAACAGAAACAGCACGACATCACCCTTCGTGCATTAACTCTCATAATCATGGCACGGCATCACCCTTCGTGCATTAACACTCAAATCATGGCATGGCATCACACTTCGTGCATTAACACTCACAAGATATGGTACGGCATCACCCTTCGTGCATTAACACTCACTCACAATATCGTGCACGGCACCACCCTTCGTGCTTTACACTCCTCCTCACCTAAATAGTAGAAACAATAACATCCCAGCAAGGGAATCAACAATAACCAGTCTCATTTCAACAATTAACTTCACAAAATAAGTCTCAACTTGAGTCAATACTCAACAATGATCCATACCAAGAAAATGTCATAAGACTTGTTCAACACGGAGAATCATCAATTTAAGCATGTACGATACGTAATAAGAGACACAACGGTCACAGTATAAGACTCACTTGCATGCTCAACATCAACATATAGATACTCGTCACCACACCTATACGTCGTCCTCAACACTGACACGTAGCAAATAAGACAACAACACCTATTCCCTCAAGCTAAGGTTAGACCAAACACTTACCTCGATTCCACGGCCAAACTCAAGCCTCAAATACCGCTTTTCCTTTGATTTCCACGTTCAAACCGCTCGAATCTATGCATAACTAACCAATTAACATCAATTAACGCTAATTAAACCAATTCTAGTGCATGAGAATAGATTTCCCAATGTTTTCCCCAAAAAGTCAAAAACCGACCCCGAGCCCGCTTGTTCAAAACTCAAAGTTCTAACCAAAACCCAACTAACGATTCACCCACGAGCACAAATATGCAATTGGTTTTGAAATCCGACCTCAATTTGAGGTATAAATCCCCAAATTTCGAAATTCCTAAATTCTACCCAAGAACACCCATTTTTCCATGAAAAACCTGTAACACCCCGTACATTCAGACTAGGTGTAGATATGTTAAATGGGTATTAATTTGATATTTTAGACATATGAAGTCCTATAGGGATGATTATTGGTGAAAATAGTTGTTTCGGAATGAAGATGGAGAGTGAGGTGCATAAGATTCAACAAAATCGACTAAGTTTACAAAAGATCCGTCCTCCAGCAGCTGTTAATGAACATGTGTAAGGAATTTGGCAAAACTCAAAAGATGAAAGTTGTAGGCCTTTGAAATAGGCTTCCAACGATATATTTTGTAGCCCAAACGGATCTTTGTGCAAAATTTTAGGCCCGTTTTACAAAACAGTGCGCAACCACCCCGCCCGGACCGCGATCGCGGTTGTGAGGCAGTGTTCCTGCTATTTACCGTGGTCGGGACCACTTTCAGGCCAACAAGAGCACGGTGGCGGACTTGGGGAGTCATTTTTTAATCCCTATTTCGTCCCCCACAGCCCCAAAATATAAAAACTTGCTCTAGAAAGGAAAGCTCTCAAAAACCTAACTCCTTAAGGGTCCCTCCACCACCCAAGGTAAGTTTTGACGGTGATTCTAAGTTAAATTTAATTTTCCAACATCTTATTAATATGGGTAAACCCTCCATATCATTAGATATTCGATTGGGACATCGTTGTTGGAAGAAGGAACCCTAGAACTCGAATTCAAGAGGATTGAACTTCAAAAAGGTAATGTCTCCACCCTCTAATTGATTCTAGCATCGGAATATTGATTATTGACTCTAGTTCATGAGATATGAGTTGATGGGTTTGATAGAAAAGCATGAACGGTTATCGGTTTGGGGTGTTGATTGTTGATTATTGGTTATGGGTGTTGTTTACCTTAAGGGTGACAAAGAATGATGTTGATTATAAGCATTTGAGATTTTAGAATTTATCTACGAGCAAGAGAATGGGTTATTGGGTGTAAAGACACCATTAATAAGGACTATGAAGCTTTATTCTCACCAAATGTTTGATAAAATGCTTAAGTGACCAAAACATGAGTATCATAGCTAATATGGAATCCCTTTGATTTGTATTGATATTGATTAAAGTTGAAAGTATTGGCGAATGTTGTATTACGCTCAAGAGCGGGAAGTTAAGGTAGGTGAGGTTAACTCTCTATGTTTGGTAAT